GGGGGGAGCAGAGCAGCGCAGGTGGTGTGGGATCGTGCAGGTGGAGACACACGTAGGCACCTGTCAGTGCAGAGACCCCCGAAGGAGGGACACACGGGAACCTGGAACAGCAGCAGCCTGTGGGAAGGGCAATGCGGCAGTGGGGTTCAGAGGTCGGGGAGAAGCTGCATTTCCATGTCTAGCGTCCTCCTTTACTGCAATGTGGAATCTACTTAAAATCTAAGACAATTTAAAAGCTGCTGAGTGCGGCTGAAATGCAACCTTCTCACCTTGGAAAGGAGACGACACTCCGCACCCACCTGCGTCAGGGGGTGTCCTAGGATCCCGAGATGCTCGGAATCTGACGAAGCAATAAACATAGGGAAAGGGCCTCACGTTCATGGGGAGCCTGTGGTCTCAGGTGAGCGAGCGACAGGTGGGCCAGGTACCGGTAAGTTACCCACACCCTAACACAGTGATGACACGACAAGGAAGCAGTCACTGTGGGGACTTTCTCATGTGTCGTCACATTTAATCCTTGCAGGAGCCCCGTGGACACGCTCACATCTCGTCCTGGTGGTTCCCATGTGGGAGCTCCAGGCTTAGACAGTTTAGGAAGTCACTTGGGGCCGCTCAGCCAGTAAAGGGCGGATCTGGAATGTGACCCCAGGTGTGTCTCACCCCAGAGCTCATGATCTGCGACCTGCTGGCCAAGATCCCAGGCCAAGACCCCAGGAGCCCTCACCGGGTCCACGTGGGGTGGGGGAGGCAATTCCTGGGCTCCCGCCTCAGTTTCCTGGGCTGCCGAAAAAGACAGCGTAAACCCTTAAACAACACAATCTTTTTGTCTCCTGGTTCTGGAGGCTGAGAGCCCAAAATCAGGTTTTGGCCAATTTGCTTTGTGAAGAGAGGGAGGGAGCACTGTGCTGTGGGGACGCACGGCACTTGTGTCCCGACGTGCTAGAGGGACTGGAGGGGTGCAGTGTGGCTGTGCCCGACTCAGTGGAGCCTGTGGGAGCCATGTCAGGACCTCACCCCTCCCTGGCTGTTGGCCAGAGGCTGCCCTCCGTCCCTCCCCATGGGGGTCTCTCCACGGGGCTGTCCACAACACGGCGGCGGGCTTCGTCAGAGTGAGCAGGACACAGGGTGAAAACAAGATGGGGTCACACTCCTGTCGGACCTGCTGTCCCTGAGGGCTGCCCATCACATTAGCGGCACTCTGCTCCTTAGAGGTGAGTCCTGGGGGCGGACCCCCTCCAAGGGCAGAGGTCGCATGGCCTGTGGGCATGAGGGGTCTCTGCAGCCCCGTGAGAACCTGCCTCCTGCAGAAATGCACTCGCTGTGGCCCCAAAAAGTGCTCATGCTTCGGATCCAAGACCTCCTGACATTCGTCCTCTCGCTGTCAGGGGTCAGGACACTGCAGGTGAGCGAGTTCCCGTGACCTGTTCAAGGGGACGCTCCCCTGGGACCAGGAGGGATTCCAGCCTCGCCCCAAATTCATGGCACTATCCTGCCTTCTCAGGTCAAGGGGGCACATGGGATGGATTTCATGAAGCAGGATTCTAGGGTTTTCTCCTTTATTCCTAATGAAAACCACCCATGTTTTCTGTGTCCTAGGTGCCTACAGCGCTGTGACCCAGAGTCCTGGAGCCCGTGGGTCTGCCCTGGACGATTCTGGAAACCCTCTTCCTCTGAAGGGGACTCTGGGAGCCTCTGTGTTGTTTCACATGATCAGAAATCCAGAATTACCTCCAGGATCCAAGCTGGAGAGTATTACTTGGGGCATTATAAATCAAAAAATCTACACACCCGTACTCCAGGTTAGTCCCGGGGGAGATGTTCCACGATGGGTCAACTTCCAGGACAAGTTCGAGAAGAGGGTCCATGTGCTCAACACAACGACCCTGAGGTTTGACAACCTGACCCTTGAGGACAGTGGGCTGTACCGGGCTCAAGAGTCCTATACGGGAGGAAGACAATATGACCAGGATTTCTACCTAATGGTCTACGGTACGTGGCGGCCCCTCCCCCAGTCCCACAGCTGACCCCCTTCCACTGTCCCCAGGAGTGTCCATGCACCTCGCTCACAGGATTCCTTCCAGACCGCAGCCTTCAGACTCGATCTTCTCCCCAGATATTAGATGCTGTGAGGTCACCACAAATGCAGGCAGAGCTGAGACTCACACCAGGGATGAATCATGTCTGTGCTTCTGGAGGGAACACAGAATGGGGGGAAATGGGGATTTACTGTAACACTCATTGTCCCCATAGGACTCAGGGTTTTTAGTGGGACTCTTACTGTCTCGACCTGCTGTGACAGGTGAGGACACCTCAGTGGCTGACCACACCACCCCCTGGGGGTCCTCCTGGGCTGTAGGGCAGGAGTCAGACCCCAGAGCCTCTGCCATGAGGTCCAGGTATCAGCAGGGCTGTGCTCCTCTCTGCAGGCTCTGGGCAGAATCCATTTCTGTTCCTGTCCCCCTTCTAGTGGCTATCACATCTCCTGGACCATGGCCCATTCCTCTCCCTTCATAGGTGGCACTGGTGGGATGAGTCCCCCTGACACTGTGTCCCTCCCACCTCCTCTACTGCCTCCTCCCATTTGTGAGGACCCTGTGATCACATGGGGCTTGTCTGGGGAATCCAGACCATTTCTAGTTTAGAATCAGCTGGTTTTCAGCCTCAGTTCCCCTTTGCCCTGGAACCTAAGACAGCTGCGGGCTCTGAGGGTCAGCACATGGCCATGGTTAGGGGACACTCATCACCTAGCAGGATCTGGAATCCCATGTGTGGTTCTCCCCACCCCGTCCCCTCGTCCTTCTCAGCCCAGCCCAAGTCAGCTCACTCACAGACTCCACGGTCCAGCTCTGAACCTCCACGGATGGAGGAGAATTCACAGGGTAACCCTTCCTCAGACCTCAGGGAGCAGCTCGCTCTCCCTGCACCCCTCCCTCCCTGCGCAGGAAGACGTCCTGCCCCAGAGAAAGAGAGGCCTTTGCAGATTCAGGTCCTGGAGATTTCCAGGTAGACTCCCAGTCTGTCCCTTGTCTTCCTGCTGGACCCCAAGTTCGGTGCATATTACAAAAATTGGGGTGGTCTTTCCTAGGAACCACCACCATGTCCTCCACTGTGGTCTTTCCTGGTTGAACCTGGGACCGATCTCTGGGCTCCCAGAGCTGGCCAGTGGCCGTCTGCACCACGGGCTCTGCGGTCCTGGGAACCATCTGAGCAGGAGTAGAGCCGGGCCCTGGACCAGGACAAATCCTTGTGTCTCACACTTAACCTTCCTGTAGGGGACACATCACTTTCTTGGAGTTAATGGTTCTCAGGCAGATGACTCCAGCATTTAATTTCTCAAGGAGATTTGTAAGACGTGCTCAGTATAGTGAAATCACATAGAGCTGAACTCAGTAGCTCCCTTCCTTATTGGCACCTGCTGTATATTTGGGTCAATTCTCTGTGATCTGTAAAATGCAATCACCATCCTAGGGGGAGGAAGCCAGAGCATCAGGGAGAATCCGCAGGAGAAAGCAGGAGCTGTGATGTTCTACACTCATGTGAGACTGTCCTCTTGTCCCTCCTGCCCCAGAGCCTGTGCCCCTTCCCCAGATCCAGACCACGTATCTGTCCCTCACACCAGGCTGGTGCAACCTCACCTTGGAGTGTGACCTCACGAGAACCAGGGAGGACCTGATGGTGTCCTGGGAGAGCAAGTGTCTCCCCAGGGAGCTGGAGCAGAGACCGGCCCCAGGACCATCCCCCAACCCCTGGACACTGGCTGTGAACCTGCCCCTGAGCCGGCCCAGCCCCAGCCTCACCTGTGTGGTCAGCAACCAGGGGGACCAGAAAACTGTCACCCTGGAACTTGGGGACGTCTGTGGTCATGGTGAGTGCACCTGCTAGAGGGGAGGGACATTCTTGGGGTCAGGGAGACCTGGGTGAGGGTTCTCAGCTTCTTTCCCCCACATTTATGTCACCCCCGGCCACCTGGTCACCCCATCCAGGACTCTGGCAGGAACATCCAACCTGCCTCTGCCCTTTGATGTCCCTCCCGTGCTGCTCTCCAGCCCTCACCCCTCCTGGTCCAGGCAGCACCCACCAGGTACCTCTCCCCACCCTCATCCATCACCGTGAGTGTGTCCACGGTGGCTTTCAGGAAAAGCGAGTTGGGGATATCAGTGGTCTCTGCCATCTGAGGGGTCTGGGCCAGTGATTCCTGCAGGATTCAGGGTTCAGGGCTCCTCTGCCCATTTCTGGTCTCACGGACACATGTCACCCACCTGCTTGCCTGCGTTCCCGATGTGTCCCACTCTCCTCGGCTGCCAGCCTCCGCTCAGGCCCCTCCCTCTGCCCTCAGCCCTTCCGAGTCAGGAGTCCCCCACTCCCCACTTATTCCCATCCAGGGACCCCTCCCTGCAGCTGGCTCCGGAGGCCTGTGACCCGGGCAGTCCCACAGGGCCACGTGCTGGGGGCAGTCCCAGCATGAAGAGACTTTGCACAGGGGCTCCTCAGCCTCGATGGCTCAGGGCCCTGCAGGAGCTGCTGCTGTCCTGCCTTCACACCTCATCTCCTCTAAGGAGCAGTCACTGGCCCCACACTGGGAGCTGATGTTCTGGCCCAGGATTAGTGTCCTGTGTAGTCTGAACCCCTGGAGGGCAGGAGCCATGTCTGCTGCTCCTTTGAATCTTATCCTAGGCTTAGCCTTGGGCCATTTGCTCACAGTCACCGTATCCCTGAATGAATGAATGACCTGGTTCCCCGTGATTCCCCTCACCCCTTCACCCACTCCTCCACCAGCTGATGGGAGACCTGCTACCTCCATATCCCTGATCCCAGAGGAAGCTCATGGCTCAGGGACCCACTGGGCCCCCTGGAAAGAGGCTCCTGCCTCCCTCTCATCCTCCCACCCAGCTCCCCCTACCTTGTCCCTCTCTGGCCTGTCCCAGTGGGTGCCAGCAGCTCCCAGGGCTGCGGACTTGTCACAGCCATTCCTGGTCAAGGCTCTCCTTCCTGGGATGCCACACCCACCCTGAATATCGGGCAATCTCCTACTCCTCCCTCAAGACTAGGTTTACCCATCACCTCCTCCAGGAGGCCCTCCCTGATGACCTCGGTACAAGCTGTAGCTCTAGGGTCGTGGGATGGCTCTGGCTGGCTGCCTCTGGCACGTGTCAGCCCACTCCCTGCTGAGGGACTCCTCAAGGGCAGGCACCATGTCCTGCTCCTCTCAGCACCCGGCCCCAAGCAGGAGCTCGGGAACTGGCTGAGTGAGAGCCCCTGCCATGCTCCTCCCTCTCGAGCTCCTGACCA